CTCCCTTTTTTCATAGTACACGGAAACTATGGGAGCGTTTTCATTTCTTTTGGTTGGTTAATTATATACAAAGAAATTAACCCCAAACAAAAGGAGGCTACTCAATCACAATTCACACAGACACCCACACATTGTTAGTTTGTATTATTCGTATTATTCGTGTTTTCTTTTACCCTGGATTTTCTTTATGTTTGACCAAAAGTGAACAATGGATAATATATACATAACTGATAGGGCACTGTTCGATTTGGGGGAATGGTTTGATAAGTGTAATGATAGTCTATATCTTGTGTTCAATATATTTAAATAAAAGAGGGATTCATTAGGGAAATAAAGATATGGATTAATAGTACACTTTACTAATAGACGGACACATAATGGACGATTAAATATTAAATAGTACAATCCAACTAATGAAGAGGATCAAACTTGAATCAGATGCTTTTCACACTATAGTATCTTTGATCCATCAATTAGAGCCGTCTGCAAGTGAAAATCATAAATAACATTTTGATAGTAGATAACGGTTAACAAACATATAAAATCGAATTTTATTTTTGCTATTGATATAAAAATATAAAATAGATGGATTGCTGAATCGGAGAGCACTGAGGAATAAATTATTGTGAGATAAAATAATGGAAAGAGTTGATAATAATATAAAGAAAGAGGGACGAGTGTGGTTTCCACACGAATAGCACAACATTTCACCATCATCATCACTTGTTGAACTTGAACACATACATACACATCTACGTATGTTGTTTCTTCATATGTATGCATGCATACGTAGCCGCCTACGTACATATACACATTCTAACATTCGGGAATAGTATATAATGGGATATATAATATATATATTTTTTTTTGATATAAAAAGAATTTCATACAAGGATATATAATATATGCGCAGTTGAGTATCAACTTTTAAAAACTTGTTCTACGACTCACACACGGCATTAAATTGTGGATACAATCGAATCTACTTAATTATACAATAGATCAAGCACTAGTAACAACTAAATTACAAATAACTTAAGACCATGTTTTTTTATTTGAACTTATAATTATTAAAAAAAAACTTAATACAATCTATATTTGAATACTAGAAATACAATAGCATAAACTTTTGATTTTTGATAAAACAATGGGAAAAATAATGGCATACACTTTAATCTCAAATAATGGAGCGGCTTGGAAACACAATTAGTTATTTGGTTTTGAAAAATATTGATGATAACCTCTATATTCGATTTTATATCCCCTTTTCTCTTCATATATATGTAGTGAAAAGTAGGTTATTGTGCCTTTTATATTGATAATGATGGATATAAAGAGACGATCATGGATTTCAACTTTACTACTTTGTGTGGTCCGAGTCTTACTCCTGAAACGCAAAATTTCTTAAGAATGTTGAAA